CTGAAGTCTCTGGACCGACATCGTCCCAATGCCGATAATGGATATCCGATCATATGACAAGCAAGCCTCTCAGGTCATCCTGGACGGAGATGATGCTATGTGGCCCAAAACACTTCGTGGCTCAGCGAGTTAACTTGAAGGTATAATAGATCTTCATCGTCTATCAAAAAAAAAACAGAAAAAACAAAGAAGTTCACTAACCCCGAAGTGCTTCTCTCCCTAGTCCGGTAAGGTCAAAGCGACATTCAGAGGCCATGCTGGGCCGGTAACTTCGTTGGCAATATTCCACCATCCTATCACACCTCAACAAAAACGGAAAATCCTATTTACGGCCTCGTGGGACAAGACGATCAAAACATGGGACGTCGAGGTAAGCATGATCGTGGGCTTCGAATTACAGGGTACCATATAAACACATATAAAATCCTTTCGATAATAACTGACAATCAGTTCGATTTGTTTACTCGAGGAAATCCCAGACCCAAGTTTTATTATCGACCTCCACCGGCCATGTCGATTTTGTCAAATCGATTCATATTATTTCTACGCTTGGTCTTCTGGTGTCCGGCTCAACAGACCGGGATATTCGATTATGGGACTTCAAACGGTCGATCGAATCGTTTAAATGGAGCGAGATTGATGCACAATATGATGCGCGAAAGCGGGCAAAGATCGAGGCGAATCGGACGAAAACCGCGCATGAGATTGCTGCTGAGGATGCCATAGAAGACGCTCCGGGTGGCCTGCCAAATTTCAACTCTCCATCCTTGAGCACTCGGGCCAAATGGCCGGGCGCAATGTATGGTCCGATGGCTTGTCTGGGCACACTCAAATCACACACCCGTCCGATCGACTCTCTTAACGCTTTCCCGACCGTTTGCGCAACAGAGGAAGAGACTTACTCCAGCAGGAAGAACGGCACCTCTCCCTATCTGCTCGTCTCTGCTGATTCCATGGGCACCCTTAAAGTCTGGCTGGTCCCTTCCAACTTACAAGCCGAACAAGCCGTCCTCGATTCCACTTCCTGGCCCCATAAGACTAGCATCAATGATATCCAAATCGGCTGTGATCTCCGACACGATATCGATCATCAGACGACTGCTCAACTCTGGACGGCCTCTGCCGATAACTCTGTCCTCCATTCCACTCTCCATCTCTTGCCATCATCCGCCCAGCGGATCGTAAACATCCTCCGGATCGAGCAACCTTACTTCGTTCGTTGTCTACTCAATCTACCGCTGTTTTTTGCTCAAACGATCCACTCAGATTCGGCGTTTCCGAACTGGTTAATCACTGGTAGCACGGACGAAGATATTCGGATCTTTGACCTCGAGTCTCTCGATGACCAGAAACACTCCACCTCAAGCAACCACCCTATCCGAAAACCGGCGCCTTCTTCCAGTCCTCGGACAGTATCTAATGGCTGGTTTGGGTCTCTTAAAGCACATTGGCACGAGGTGAATTGTTTGAAGATTTGGATCGATTCCCAGACAAAACAGCGTTGGCTGGTCAGCTCGGGCTTAGACGGAACCCTACGCAAGTGGGAGTTATCATACCTTCAACTACGCTTCGCTCCTCCTCAAGTCGGCCCCAAGGCTTCTCACTCAGCTCCTTGTCAATCTAAATCTGACCTCAAAAAGGAACCTCAATTCGAATTGACTGCTGAAGAGTAAGTTGTCCCAACAGTTTCTTCTTTTCAGAGTAAAAAAGATAGAAAAGCAAAAACTGAATGCTCTTTATTGTACTGATTGAAAATTTGATAGAGAAGCCGAATTAGCAGAACTCATGGGCGAGATGAAATGACATGTAAATTGTAACTATTTTTTTTTGAGATGTTTGGCCCCACCAGTAGTGTAATAAACCCTTGCTGTAAGTCAACTTACAACCAGGTTTCAACATCCAAAATCAAATTTCTTCTTGGTGTGTATGTTCCTTGGAGGTCATCAGAGTCCAGTGCATCCATTCACAACAGAGTTGCAGGTGTCCTTTGCAAGGATTTGTCAGGAAAAGAGGAGGAGGATTCAGTGGTGCCTCCGCAAGGATTGGAGGATTTACTGGTTAAATGGAGCTGCAGGCAGACAACTCATTGCCCTTCCTTGAATCCTTACAAACATAAGGGCCAATGTTCTTCTTACAGCATAGATAGAAAATGTACTGCCATCTGGGTCTTGGATTACATGCAAAGTAATATATACACACAGCATGGGCTGAAGTGCTTTGCCTCTAACTGTCCAATACAGATGTAGTTTGGGATGCCTCTTTTTTGATAAGTTTCTGGATTGGTGATGTGAAGCTCAACTATGTTGGCCCTGTGGGGCTTCTTTCAAAGTGATCTCCATATAAAGGTCTTATAGGGCAATACATATTTTTAAGACTTTTGTCCCATCAGATATTTGCAAAGTTTTTTTTATTTAGAATTTCTGCTCTGTTGACATTTCTTATATTTTGATGTTCCTTTTACTGGAGTGTTAAGAGAAGGAAGCAAGTAAAGTGACTTTCTTGGGGTTATGTGTGAGTAAGATAAAGAGATGGAGTTCAGAGTTCTGTGTGTATACTAATATGGAAAATATCCAAAAAGATACAGCTGTCTGGCACCAGGAGTTTAGATAAAGCTTCAGTCCTGGCGACCTGCTAATTCACTGGGGTAGAGCTACAGGCTGCGTTGAAGAGAGGCTGCACTGCAAATGTGATTATATCAGATTCCCACATCTGGCATTACATCAGATGAAAAAAATCTGATTTTAGATCAGGCAAAACTGGTATTATATCTATCAGGAGTGATATTATATCTACCTAGAATCATGTTATATCTATCATAACAGATATTGCATCAGCCCAACCTATTTAATGTCAAAATAACTGATTTTATATCAGATTTTTTACATCTGATACAAATTTTTAGCCCATGGGCATTAAATCAGATAGAAAAATCTGATATGAATTCAGTTATGCTGACATTGAATAGGCTGGTCTGATGCAATATCTTTCATGATAGACCCAATATCATTTTAGGTAGATATAATATCAATTCTGGTAGATACAATCCCAGTTTTTCCTGATGTAATATCAGGTATTGTCAGCTTGCTACTATGGCAGAGACAACCTGTCATAGCAAATAAAAAATAATAAATTACATAAAAAATCTAAGTATAAATTAAAAATATTACATAAGTAAAAGAAACAATATTACTTATGTAAATAAGATAAAAAATACATAAAAATAAATAAATAACTTAAAAAGTATAAACAAAACCTTGAATATTATTGCAGATTCTGAATCAGCACACAATTTAACCTAGGGTACCTCAGCCAAAGGTACCCCAAATTCTAACTCCTTCATCCTGTAATACAAGCATGAATAATTAACAGGTACCCCCAGATCACGGGTACTGTGACACTTCTGCATAATGCATAATGCATATACTCCAAATCCAGT